TGTTTCCATATTGGCCATGGTTGCTTTTGTATTGCGAGGGCAGGGCTTAGCAGTTGTGACAGAGACTGTGTAGACACAAAGCTAAAGATATTTACTATTTGACCCTTTGTAGAAAAGTTTGCTTCCCATAGGTCAGGGAACCCTGATTGCTCTTCGAGCAGATGAGGGAGGGGGACTTGATCGGGGGGAGGGGGAGGGAAATGGGAAGCGGTTGTGGGGACGAGGCAGAAATCCTTAATAAATAAATAAATTAAAAAAAAAGAAAAGTTTGCTGAAGCCTGTCTTTGAGAAGAGTTGTGGTTTTTTCTGTTTCTGTATGCAAACAGATTTACATAGACATCAGCACAGTTCACATGCAGTGCCTGGCACCCAGCAGAAGGTAACAAATTTTCCATCCCTCTTCTGAACTTAATTCTGCTCTGGAACACATAGGATCATATCTGAGAAATGCAGAGGCAGGAACATTTATATTTTTATTGAATTCTATTCCTCTCACATTTCCAAAAGAAGAGCTCATGTTTAAAAAAAATTCTGATTGGCACTATAAACCTTATTTTTGCTTTAATGTCTCCTAAAGTGTGTAGCCCACACTATTTTTACTCCCTTACAGATGCTGATATGCTGCTATACATTACCAAATCCAAATGGATTTTCAAAATCCAATTTCCTTGTTCCAGTCTTCCGTTTCTCTGTTGACTTTTTATGTCTGACTTGCATCAGAGCATCCGGGGCTTTTGCCACGTTTTGACCTCGACCTGTCCAGTGAAATAGCTCGTGTGCTCAAGAGGAGAGTCCTTGGGTGGTGGCTGCCCTTCCCTGTCCTCCTGTGACTCTGTGAATCTCCATCAGGCTCGATGGTGGCTTCTGGAGGCAGCCTGAGCTAGTTCTTGGAGCGGAGGTGGAGACGAAGGTGCTATTTCCTCCCGAAATGATTGTGCTAAGGTTGGCATGGGTTACCTGGCACTGCGTGCTCCTTGTGTCTGAATGAGGTCAGTGTCCAAATGACTTTTCTTCAGGGATTCTTTCCAATCGTATATCTTCCTTAAGTGGCGTGCCACAAATACCTTACAGAGATTGCTAGGCCTTTCGTGTTATGGTCTCTAGGGAAGACAAGTAGATGTCATTTTTGAATGATCAGCATTACCTACAAAAGTCTTGAGGTCTTGGGCATTGAATCAGCATTTCTTGCAGTGGGTTTGGGAGAGTTTTGATTTCTTTTCTTCTCTTCTCCTTTCCTGCTGATTCCTAGTGTCCATGGCACCATTACTTACTGCCATTTCTGCATCTCTGTGGCCTCTGTGGGATACTAGCTACTTCTGATATTCTAGAATACTTAGATCTTAGGATGAGAAGGTTCCTTGTGGCCATCTTGTTTCTATATACCAGAAACTACATGGGAATGGATGGGAATGGTTCGGAAATTGTCTCTAGAGGCATGTCACCTGCTGTCAGTGCCCAGTCTCAAGCTCATGATTGCCCTCATTCTTTATCTGTTGTTTAGGAGGAAGGAAATGCAGGAATGATTGTGTTGGAAATCATCCTGAAGTGTATTTTTTCTCCTACTAGTTTGAAACATGGTCTACCTCGAGCCACGTGAGCAGGGAGGAGGTATCTATTGGTTGGCACTGGGTCCCAGTTGTTTGTTTATCCTGGTGGTATGTTTGGGTGATGCTATCAATTTATATTGAGAAGAATAATGAGAAGCATTTTCATGAGACTCACCATGTACTCCTTGTGTGGATGTAGTCTCAGATCGGGGTGGCGTTTCATTATGGGATATGAGGGTCACCACGGATATTTCTGTAGAGGCTTTTGTCTGATCTGTGTTCACGGATTTGTTGTCATTTTCCTTGGACAGTTTGGCTTTTATTATGAGAACACAGTGTCCAGTACCTGGGAAGCTTTTGCTGTTGACAGAGGGAGAGTCAGGAGCTCAGAGTCGGGCGCATAGCCTCATTTAGGCAGATGGACATGTGGGAAATTAAAGTATGGTTTCACAACTCCCTCCTTCGACCCTGCTTTGCTCTTTCTTTCCCTGTCCTCAATGTCACCGGACTCTACATCCTCCTTCTGAATACACTGGGCTGATGCAGTGGGATGGTGAACAGTTAGCATCTCCTAAAGACGCTCTGCTGTCTAGGTTTCACACAGAGCATAGATGGGAACTTAAAATCCACAGGTCATATTCTGTTCTTTGCTCAAAATCTGGGTGCTGTGGAAAAGTCCTGACTGTGTGCCTGGCTGAAATGCAGATTGTGTGTGTGCGTGTGTGTGTGTGTGTGTGTGTGTGTGTGTGTGTGTGTGATGTTGTGTGACACAGGGGCCTTTATCTAGAACTGTTCTGTGGTGAGACATTAAAGACATGCATAAGCCATGACAAACTCTGGTATAAAGCAGGGTCTGAATATCCGGAGAAAACAGTGGCTTGTGACAGAGTATGGTGCTGCCTTTGCTTGCTCTAGTAAGCTCCCCTTGTATGAACATTCCACTGTCGTTCCTTCTGTCTTTGAATGCTACCGTCTGCAGCCTCGGCCACCAAAGGCCTTTGCAGCATCAGAGAAGCTGGGAAGGACAGCGTGTCAGGGGTGCTTTCTGTGTGTAGCCCCTGTCTCCGAGAGGTTGTCATGGTGGAGGGTCATGGTAGTGAAAGTCCGCTTCCAATTAATGCTGAGAAATCTTGGACCACTCCAACTTGGCGATTCTCTCACCCACTCCCAACCGTGGCCTCTGGAGTACACACTTACATTTGCAAATCTTCTTCAACTTGCTTAATTATTGCTTGTCTGCCTTACTACTCTTCAGACATCTCTCTGGAAACCCCTGTGTAGCCAGTGCTAGCACTTTATCTATTCTTTAGCAAGGGACTTTGATGAATCAGCAAAGAACTACAGTAAAGCAAATATTTTTCCACCAGGACATCAGTCACGGTCCCACCCAGAAATTCCCGACTGGCTTTACTGCAGATTTCAGTTTTTTGTTGTGTTTCTTGGAACTCTTTACCTTTTTGTTCCTCTCTAGATGTTTGTTTTTGTATGACTCCTATTTATTTAATGCAAAGCACTTCTCAACTCCTGCCCCTCCAGAATGGGACCAGTCCTCTATTGCTGAGCCCAGCATTCACCGGGATACTGTCATAACCTGCTCAAGTGACTATAACAGAATATCTTAATCTGGGTGCTTTATGAACAAAATAAAAACTTGTTCACAGTTCTGGAGGTTTAGAAGTCTGCAACAGGACAGCAGCTGATGCAGGGTCTGACGACAGCCCGTTCTCCTCCTTGCCCCCTTTTCATCTTGTTTACATTTCATTCGTTTTGTTTATCACACAAAATCATAGGTTTGATTATGACATTTTCACATGTACTTTCTTTTCATTGGCCCCCCTCCCCTCCCCTCTCCATCTCCCTCTTCCTCTCCTGTCGTCCTTTCATGTTGCTCTCATGTCATATGAATTCTATTGTCCTCTTCTTGGCCTTCCTCCTGCAAAGCTCACTCGGCAGAAGGACTGAGTGGGCTCCCTAGGGCCTCTTTCGTCAGGACAGGAAGCTCCTACCTGAGCACCAAACCCTCATAACCCAGTAGCCTCCTCAAAAGCCCCCCTCTTAATCCCACTTCCTAGGAGGTGAGTTCCAGCATAGGAACTGGAAAAGGACACAGGCTGGAGGCCTGCAGTGAATGGGGCTCAGCTTAAGATGGGGACATATGGGAGTTTGGAGAGGGGCAGGGTGCTGAATGCCAGGGAGACAACACAGGGAAGAGATGGACTAGAATAGGAATGGGTGTGGACCACCAGCCAGGAGGCCATGGCAGATGCAGGCCAGCAGGTTCCAGCTCCTTCTGTGGACCAGCCTGTGCTCCTTTTGTGATCTCCGTCCTCCGGCCTTCTGCCTGTGAAGATGCTCCTCTCCCGCCAGGCCCTGTTAACTCTCTCCGTTAGAATAGTGGGCTCCTGTGTCTCTGGTCACAGCAGCTCTCCTAGTTGGAGCCTCCATTCTAATCCTTTATCTCATTCAATGTCACCTTGAGTGGAATTACGACCCAAATATATGCTGTTTATCCTTGCCAATATGAAACAGACACAGCATAATGTCAAATGAAGGATGGCTTGAACTTTAGGGGAAAACCTAGAAACCCTCACTGTTGACTTTCTCGTCTTCCAAATGCATGGTAGTCTAATTCTTTACCAGTTTGTTCTTCCAACTCCATGAAACATGGGTTTTCAGTCTACTTTTACAGGGAAGAAGGTGGGGGGCGGGTGCAGAGTATATTCTGTGTTTACTCTTCATAGTCAATCCACTTAATAACATATCATAAGGTGGGTGTTCCCTTCCGCTGGTGGGGAAACTGAGACTCCCCACCTCCCGCCCCTGGTGTGAATCAGGTGGCTCAAGCTCACAGTTTTGCAATCCTGAATGGATCCTGCTGGATTCTGAAGCTCCTGTTTGTTCTGCAGCATCCAGCATCCCTTATCTGGAGCTGGAAGCCGTTACAGAGGCATGCCCTGGCATTCCTTGTCCCTACTCAGAATGAGACATTCCTGTTTATATTCTCAGGAAGTCAGACTGAAATCAATGTAACTAGCCTTATTAACTTTTTAAAATGGGGGACGGGTCACCAATGCCAGAAACTTTTCTGGGATCGCCAAGGCAAATATAAAAATCTAGTTTGCCTGTTGCCTGCTTTTGGTTCTTTCTTTTTTCTTTCTCTTTCTCTTTCTTCCTCCCTCCCTCCCTCCCTCCTTTCTTTCTTTCTTTCTTTCTTTCTTTTTTCCTTCTCTTTTCTTCTCCTTTTCTTCTTTCTCTCTCTTTCTTTCCTTCTCTTTTCTTTCTCCTCTTCTTTCTTCTCTTTCTTTCTTCTCCTATTTTGGTTTGGTTATTTTTCCTCTAACACCCCTCTAAAGTTTAAAACCCAAAGCTGTAAATGAAGAATTGGTGGGGGAGGGGTAACTTGCCAAGCTTCATGCATGGGGCTGTATTTACCCATCTCTCTTTCGTCTGCAGGTGGCTGTTCCTTTGATGAGCACTACAGCAACTGTGGGTATAGCGTGGCTCTGGGCACCAATGGGTTTACCTGGGAGCAGATTAACACATGGGAGAAGCCAATGCTGGACCCAGCTGTGCCCACAGGTATGTGACCCATCATGTTTGGGGCTGAGATGGAGGTGGCTGGCATTTGCAATGGCTCATGGGGAAGGACATTTTTATGGATTGAGGTGAGGGAATAGTAAGTTAATATGTAAATAGTGAATTGCCTGTCTTTAGAGGTGTTCAGGCAAGGCTAAGTGAGTTCTTTAGAATGGAGTGATAGTTATAGGCCATCAGGATCCAGAGACCTGTGGGATTATTTTTACTCAGAGATTTTTAAGCTCTGTCTATGCATAGGGTATCACTGAGTTTTGCTGTGGTGTCTGATGGTAATGACATTTTAGAAAAAGATGAGATTGCTCCTTTTCTCTATAAGCATGCGTTGTACACATCAGGACGTTCCCACTGTTAAATTATTATAGCTTTGGTGACTGTCCTAACATCCAAAATACCAGGCTTATTTAACCAATGTAAAGTCTTGAAGGATGCCTGCATGAGGCAGGCCTGTGAGAGAGGTGAACCTGCTGGGTTTTAGGGGGTGTGTTTGGAGGAGGGATACACATACTCAAATAGAACCCTGTCAGAGTTGGTGAATCGGGCAGGGCATAGCAGCAAGGTTGCTTGGTGATGTGAGCCAGGAGGTCCTACATCCCTGTGAAGGTGAAGGTTATCCTTTTGAACAGTAGAAAAGACAATTGGCTATAGGACATGAGAGGACGTTGTCTGTGGAGACCTCCTGGCCAGTGGCTCCATGTAGCACACACATTGACTTATATTGCACCAGCCCCTCAGCCCTTCCTAAGTCTCACCCCTGTTTCTGCTAGTTCAACCTGTCCTTAAACGCTAGAGTTCTTTGGACTTTTTCTGTACTCTCCTCATGGATGGCTTCTCCAACACCGTTGCTTCAGGTTTTATCTGAGCACAGATCTGTGACTCCCACTGCTATGCTCTCTTGGTCAACTCTGGGGAGAGGGTTTCTGGGATATCAGTAAGTGGAGACAGAGGAGATACTCAGAAGAATCTAGGGGCAGAAATGTCCTCTCTGACTTTGAGCTTGACTCCAAAGCAGGAGACCTCTGGCTGGATTTGCATGGTTCCTACTAAGGCTGCGTCATGTCTGTTTCTCAGGAGGGCCTTGAGTTCAAGGCTATCCCAAAAGGAAAGAAACAAGCCTGAAGTTACTAAATTGTAAATTTCAGATTAGATGGGGTCTTATTTTGTCTGAGCAGAGGTATCAGTTGTCACATATTCCAATGACTAAGGCAGCATGGGAAAACTGTATCTGTTGCCTCCTTGTGGTTTTTAGTAATGCTGACTTCATTTCTGTAGTATCCCCGTCATTTGTCCCATTAGGATCCCAAAAGCTAAAACACTTGTGCTTAATAAATAAATTAACTAATTCCAATGCTGGAATAGAACTCACTATGTAGATCAGACTGCTGTTGAATTCACAGAATTCAGTCTGCCTCTGCCTCTTGAGTGCTGGCATTAACAGTGTGTTTCACCATCCCTACATGTTCTTGGCCATCTTTGAGACTGATCAAATCTGGATCTTATAGTGCATGCATGTGTGTGCATGCATGTATGCATGTGTGTATGAGTGATGGGTGTGCATGCATCCATGTGTGTATGCATCAGTGTGTAAATGTATATATACATGAGTGTTAAGTGCATATATGTGTGCATTTGTATGCATCCATGTGTGTGTCAGTGTGTGTGTATATTCATGCACGTATCTGTATATCTTTAGCCCACTCAAAATCATGTAGTGTGTCATGATCCAACATTTTTAAAATTAGCCTTCCTTCTTTCCTCCCTTCCTTCCTTCCTTCTTTTCTTCTTGAGATAACATAGAACTTAAGATCTTCCTCCTAAGTGATGGGATTGCAAGTGTCTACCAACATGCCTAGCTAAAAGTGAACTTTTAATTCACTCTTTCCCCTTCCATGTCTATGCACTCTCTGGAATGATTCAGAAGCCAGTGGCTCTATTTGTTCCCCCCCCCCCCCCCCCGTGTGATAGTCTCTTCATCCGAATGTCTCTCCAGTTCTGACTCCATCACAGGTCTGTCTGGTTTCATTGCCTAGACTCTCATCCTTCTGGTGCAGATCACCTCTGTTTCTCTTTTGGGAACCTGGGGAGCTTTGTTCTGGTTCTTTGAGTCATTCTTTTGAGTTCAATCCGTACAGAAGCCAAAGAGCTTCTGGTGGGATACAGAGCTGTCCATTCCCTTGCCCCTTCATCCCTCTGAAGTTTCTCTATTAAAGATTTTTGAGGTCTCCTGATGCTCTGAGATGACAAAGTCCTGCTGTCCCCTTAAGACCCTGACAGCTAATCCTGCCTCCACTTCCGCCCTGACCAGTTCTGCTTCCCCTGTGTTGCTTCACATGGGCTCCCATCAGTTGCTGACAAACTCTGACTCCCCTGCCTCAGGAACTCGCACATGACACTCCCAGGAAGCCCTTCCCTCTAGTCTGCCCTGACGTTGTGACTTCTTCCCATTCAGTCTGTGGTGGCTCTTGGCAAAGATTCCCACATTGTGACTAACGTCCCTCAGATGAGAAATCCACGTAACTGGGGACCACAGTAGCCTTGTTCACAGCTGCATCGTCAGCAGCTGTGGAATGTGGTATGACAGATGGAGCATTCACGTCACAGTGTGCTGGAAGGGGGCACGGATGGGGTCACGTACTGAAGCAGTTAGTAACAAAGACATGAACTACAGTTTAGAGACCTTTGACACTCTTCTTCCTGATCATGTGCTTATCCCAATTGCGTTTTCTTCCTATTATCCTTCCCATTTTACAGAGAAGAAAACCAAGGTTCTAGGCAGCAACCTGGCAAGATGGATGCCTCCTCCTCCCCTCCCACTTCCCCTCCCTGAGGCATGATGATTACTTCTAATCTTAATTTTCTCAGCCCCTTATTACAGCCAGAGTGTCATTTCGTAAATATTGGATCATGCTAATACAATCTTCTGAGCATTCCTAATAGAGGCATTTGATAGTGATCGCTGAAATGAGTCTGTCAGGGGCTCTGTGTGCTGCTCAGGCTGAGAGGCGTGGAAGCAAATTTGGATGAGGGGAGAAACTGTTCTTACAGGCAGTGGCCAGAATCTTACTCGTGTTCTGTGGTCCAGTACTTTCCATCTCTTCGGAAACCTAGCTTGAGTTTATTCAGATGGCCCTTGCTGTTTATTGATCCCCTCTGGGCAACAGGCTCTGTGTCATAGTTGGCCTGAATAGATAGGATCATGTCTTTTTGGAGCTTAATCTCTTTAGTGGCTTGGCCTTTAAGTAGACTGTGATCCACACACTGTGAGACCTACCCAGTCCTGGGCCATCTAATGCCGTCTTTTTGCAAACGCTGTCCCTTACCTCTCAGTGCTCTAGATACCCTGGCTGGCCTGGTGATCGGACATGTCACATTCTTTCCTGGCATAGGAACTTCACACATGCTCGCTGGAATGCCTTTCTTTATCATTTATAATCTTCTTCAAGTCTCGGCTCATGCAGCTTCCCATAGACACCTCTCCTCACTGCACAACTGAAGGAGGTTTCCTCAGGTGTCTGATTGTCGCCTCCAGTTCCTTGCTTTCAAGGCCCTTGTTATAGACCCAATGTTAGTTTCGCAACAGCTGCGGAAAAACACCTAAGAGAACCAACTTAAAGGAAGAAACATTTATTAGGGCTCAGGCCAAGGTGAAGTGGATCTATGGCTTTGGACCTGAGGCAGGTATAGCAGAACGCAATGGCAGTGAGGATGTGAGACAGAGGATGCCTCCCCGCATGGAGTCCAGGAAGCAAGGAGACAGAGAGAAGAAGTCACATGTTCAGTGATGTTTGTCCCTCAGTCTGGCTCAGCTTTCTCAGTTCCTCCTATTTTCTGCTAGTGCATTCAATGATTAATCTATCAATAAACAAATCCCTTGGGGGGAGCCCTTGTCATTCAATCAATTCTCTAAATTCCCACTTCTGAATGTTGCAGTGGAGACCAAGTCTTCACACTTGGGTCTTCTAGAGATATTTCAGATTCAAACCACAGCACACATTAGCTTCTTCCAGTCTTGTGCCAGAGCGGAGTGATGCTGGCACCGGGATGCTCCTGAGTGATGCTGGCACCTGGATGCTCCTGTCCCAGTTCTCTCACTTCTCACTGGAAGATCCGCGTGAGAGCTCCCTGGAGATGGCTGGGTGAGCTCCCTGGAGATGGAGTGGGTGAGCCTAGGTGGGCCTCAGGTAATGTTAGCTGCCCCTAGACTCTTTCCTTGTTCTGGAACCTTCTGGAAATGTAAGAGTAGGACCACCTGAGATCCCATGCCTCCCTCAAGCCCACTGATACTCAATGCTACTTCCCAAGGGGGAGACGTTTAGCAGCTGATCTGGCATGAGTCACACAGGCAAGAGAAGCTTCTCACTTCCCAGAATGCACTGCCTGTAGTTCAGCCCCCCGAATCCAGTACTGTCCCCCTGTCACACTCTTCCCCACCTTCTCCATGGAGAAGTCTTTGGGCCAGCATTCCAGGCTTCAGATCTGCTTTCCGTGCATCATGTCTGTGGCTCCATCACAGAGGACTAGAGTAAGGCTTGCAACACCCACAAACCCTCTCTGGGGCTCTGTCTTATCTAAGTGTAGCTGCCACAGATCCTTACGCTTGGCATGAACTAAAGGTTTCCACACAGTGGTCCAGACATTTATCCAGAGGGAGGGGCCTAACAATGCATGTGTTGTAGGTGCCGTGTGCGTGCGCGCGCGTGTGTGTGTGTGTGTGTGTGTGTGTGTGTGTGTGTATGGGGGGGCTGACATGAGCACACTTGCATCTGTTGGTACATTGGTATGGTGTGCCTCTGAAGGTCAGTCTTGGGCATCTTCCTCAGTTGCTCTCTACCTTGCTTCATTTTTACAGAGGATCTTTCTCCTTTACCTGGCCAGCAAGCCTCAGGCATCTCCTTTTGTCTACCTTCCCAGGGCCAAAATTCTACACGAATGCGAACACACTGAGCTTCTTTATATGCTTCTAGAGCTCCATCTCAGGACCTCAT